TTTAGTGATAAAATTTTAGCAACATCCATAAAATTATAATCATTACAACTTCTCTACTTTAACCTAATTTCTTTTCTGGTATGTCTTCCCTATAAGGAGCCACATACTTTTACCTGCAAAATCATGCTCAAAGTAATTAATTAATTCTAGTTGTAACAACAATTAGCAAAGAACTTTTGTGTTCATCAGGAGATTGGTTAACTTATAATATATGCAGATCTTAGAATTCTATAAAGTTACCAAAAAATCAAGGTGAATTTATGTGTGCTGTCACAGAAATATCCTGCATTCCCTTCATTAAGTGACAAGAGCAAGTGGCAGAACAATATGTACATTTTTACAAATATTTATTTTGTAGTTGTATACAATATCTTAATTTTGTTTATTTGTTTTTATGTGGTGCTGAGGATACAACCCAGGACCTCGCACGTGCTAGGCGAGTGCTCTCCTGCTGAGCCACAACCCCAGCCCACATTTTTTAAAAATATTTTTTTAGTTGTAGATTGACACAATACTTTTATTTTATTTATTTATATGTGGTGCTGAGAATTGAATCCAGTGCCTCACACATACTAGGCAAGTACTCTACCACTGAGTCAAAACCCAGCCCAATATGTACATTTTTACCCAGTGGGTTAAAAACTTGATGTTTTTATAGCACATCTGTATATGAAAAAAGGCTTGTATCAGCTTTAAAATTGCATATACAAGATTTTCAATTTTGATTAGCTTTGAAAAAGGGATGAACTTTGGAGGAATATTGTAATAGAGTAGCTTGTAGTTTACCCGTATGAAAAGTTTTTATAACAAGAATATATATACTTATATTAGCTGTGTCATCAAATATTTAAATAGGTCTAACAATAAAATAGTAGTTGTATATTACTCAAATAAAGTAACTGCTAACTGATGCAACAGAAAAAAACCAAAGGTGTGACATCATGCCTAAATATCAATTTTCCATGTTTGCTCCTGAATGGAACAAAAAATTAATGGAGGTAATAGATTTGCTTTTATGTTTCTCAGTCCAGAGGTGACAAACACTTGTGCTCATGCTTCTGTGGCAAGGGCTATTTACATAACTCTTCTGAACTACAAGTGGACTGGGAATGTGATCTTTCCTTGAGCCCAGGAAAGAGATCAAGATATCATATAGATGAACACTTGCAGTCTCTCTTATAAAATGTTATGTAATATGAGCTTAATAAAGAGCAACTATCACAATTGGTTATAACTGCAACCCTCTTTATTTCTTGGAGGAGTTTCTTATCTAATTTTCAAAATGACCTTGTAAATCTTTACAGGGAGAGTTTGTCACTCAATAGTATCTTTCTGCATGATCCTTTACAATAACGTGCATGACTTAAGTAGATGGAGAATTTTCTCCTATCTTTTGGTGCAGTGTCAAAATCATAGCTTCCTACCACCTGATTTAACATGTATAAACATCTGAACAGTTCAATTAAGCATGCTGAAAAACTAGCATTTTTTTTTCCTGGAGGGAGATACAGATAAGAGTAAATGAAGGGGCTGGGGATGTGGCTCAAGCGGTAGCGCGCTCGCCTGGCATGCGTGCGGCCCGGGTTCGATCCTCAGCACCACATACCAACAAAGATGTTGTGTCCGCCCAGAACTAAAAAATAAAATATTAAAAATTC